CCCCAAAACCCCAAAACCCCAAAACCCCAAAACCCCGTTTCTTGTAAGAAAAGTAGAATTTTAGTTAACCTAATTCTGAAGGAAAATGTTTTAGAAATATCCGAATATAGGAGACTTGGCGAGATTTTAGGCTCCGCGCTTCGGAGCAGGAGAATGATGAGGGATTAGTGTTTAAATGGACAATAGTCTTCTTCAGAGCATTTGCTCTTGTCTGAGTGAAATTTTCTACAAGGGATTCGTCTTAGGTAATGCTTGTGCTCGTATATTAGAAGTGACTTGCTGAATGATTGGGGGTAGTATACTTCACTAATAATCACCATGAAGGTAAAATTATGACATTGAGGACATTCTCTGGTGTTTTTCAGAAGTGTACTATTAGGTCTAGGTCCCTTCCAATTATCCCAATTTTCTTTAACTCATTTCTGACAAAATATATGGTCTCATCTTTGAAGTAGCGCAAATTTCCTATTATTTTCTAGTATCATTTGATGGCAGAGTCAACACTCTTTATCTTCTGTGGAATTATCCCTTTGAGAGAGTTCTTTGATGATACTTGGATGTAGCTTATCACACTCATCTCCTAATTCACATCTTCATACGAGAAAGTTTAAACAAGGTTGTTTTCCTTGATGCTCTGGAGATGGAGCTTGAGTTTTTACTGATTTACTTTTGGGCTTCTCTCTTTCCCACTGAAAAGCTTCTTTTGATAAATTTCTTAAACATCCCCATAGAATGTAAGATGCCCAATGTTTTCTTAAGTTTAGGATCAACAATGTCTTGAACATAAATGTTATTTTTCGTTATTCTGATATCAGTATTTAGAGAAATTGTATCAGTATATTGAGAAGCACCTGGAACATAAGGTAAGAGTTCGGATAATTTCATAAGCACTATCCCTGGCCCCCACTCCTCTGCTTTGAGATCTATGATTAACTTTGGTTTTTCTTTCTCACTTATTTCTGACTTATCCATTTGAAAGATCGATTCTCAATATTAACTATAAATCTCGGGGTTTTGGGGTTTTGGGGTTTTGGGGTTTTGGGGTTTTGGGG